CATAATTTAGATAATACCAGGGGTGGGTTCTAAATTTTTTTACTACCGGTTCTGTGGGTATGGCTTATTTTGTGGGTGTGACTTGATGGTCATGTGACAATTATTTAGGATTTAGCAGAGGTACTGGTCCACCAGGCTTTTAACTGCTTGCAGAGCTGTACCGATCTACTCATGTATTTTTGCAGGCACTGGTCTACCCATTTATTTTTGCAGGCACTGATCTACTCATGTATTTTTGCAGGCACTGGTCTACCCATTTATTTTTGCAGGCACCTCTCTACTCATTTGTTTTCTTTTAACACTGATCAGCTGTAGGGCGGCCCTTTGAAGCCCCGCAGCAAGAGTTTAAACAGTTTTTTTCCTTCTAGCCATCAGCTGGGACTCAGGAGGCAGCAATAGATTGGGGGTAGGGCCAAATAAAAGGTAAGAATAACATGGGGGTGGGGGGCGGGGGGGCAGAACCGGTTCAGTGACCTCATATTGTCACCGCTACCAGCTCAGCGGAACCGGGCGGAACTGAGAGGAACCCACCACTGAATAATACCTCTGTTAAAGAGCCATTGTCTCATCTTTAATATCATATTGTAACCAACTAGAAGCTTACAAACAGGATACAACAGAAATAACTTTATTCTCTTTCTGCTCTCCTATAGTTGCTATTTAAGATGTGCTCTTTGTGACCCAGGAAATAATATACTGATATCAAAACTATTCTTCCATGAACTGAGTCTTAATTCCGTCTAAATTGATGGCTATCAATTGGTGGCAATTTCCATATGTGATGTACAAAGACATAACTCCATCAGTATTGATTTTTTCCATTGTATTAATTTTATTTATTTTTTTAAACAAACGTCTAAAACAGATTGCAAGCGGCCAAGTCAATGCAACTATATAAAGCTTGAAAGCTAAAATTATAAAATAGGATAATTATAACAAGGGCAAGACAGAATCACAATACATGATGTAGCAGTATAACTTCTGAAGAAAAAAATATGTATCCACAATTGTCATACCACCATATCCAGTGGTGGGATTCAACCAGTTCACACCACTTCGGGAGAACCGGTTGTTAACTTTCTGAGCAGTTTGGTGAACTGGTTGCTGGAAGAAATCGTTAGGGCAGAGAACCGATTGTTAAATTATTTGAATCCCACCACTGACCATATCCCCATTCAGCCTCTCATCTTTGCTCTGTTAGAATTATGAAATATAAAATTTGGAGTCAATAACTGCAATTTATAGTGATGCCATAATAACAGAAATAATAATATTCATTATCATACAGTAAATGCATTTTTAATGATTCCCTAAGATATGTCTTTGTCAAACACCAATCCAAGTTAAAGGAGCTGTTTGGAGTGCATAATTACTGATTTAACATATTTAATGGTTTTTGAAAGTCCCAACTACTGAACACAAATAAAATTGATGGCAATGATTAAAGAAGACATGCTGTGAAATTGAGGTGAAGTTCAAGGTCAGGAAATTTAAATTAAATACACACACATACTTAGCCATGTCATTTCTAAAGCATAGCAACAAAAAAAGGGACACTAAAAATAATATATATATATGATTCTAGGCAAATCATGTCCTTGAATCACAAAATTAGTGATATGCACTGCCCATTCACTAGGGCATTTATTGTACCTCAAAGAATTTCAGCCACAGAGGTTAATTTGATGAGTATCCTTTAAATAGGTGATGTCCTCATTAGATCAGCATTACAGCTATATTCCAAAAAATGGGTCATTCACAGGAGTTAGAATGACCTTCTGCAATTTATTGCATTTAATTGAGTTGATGAAAATGTCTAGCAAATTTCATTTGCCATTTCTGAATATGCCGAAATAAATATAAGAAAAGGAAGTAATGCAATGTTATTGTTTTGCCAACTTACAAATTGTTTTCAGAAAATTCTTAAAACAAGGTAGATTTGTTCCAGACTTTGATTCCTTGATGCTCTAGGATTGCTTCAAAATAGACTCTTCAAGGACTCTTTCAAGGAGGCACAAAAAGAAAACAAAATGGCCACCAATCACTAACTTAATCTAAATAATCCAGACTGCAGTTGTTATTTTCAGAAGAGGGCTATAGTTCAGATGATGGAACATGTGTTTTGCATGCAAAAATTCCAGATCAGATCCAGATACATAAATTCTAGTTGAGGTATGATTCAGTATAAGAAGCTTCTCATATCCTCAGGTTTCACTCCTAGTTTTAGGTAATAGTGTGCCAGTGAAATAACCCAGAAAGGACTCAGATAAAGCTGTAGAACTATAGAGTTGTGAACATAGGCTTGCTTGGAACAAAATTCCATTTCCTTTAAGCTGACATGTGTTTCTTGAACCACAATAGGTAAATAACTGTAATAAGGCTGAATTATCATCAAGCAATCTGTAATGGGAGGTGCTTAATTATTGTCTTTAATTCAACCAGACAGCATCCATCTGTGCACATAAAAGTACAGATGGTAGGTATGGGACAAAAAACATAAACTGCAACCCTATCAAGGACTTGTGCAAGGTAATAGCTATAAACAATATTTCACTTTATGGTGAATCAAATTAACGATGGCCTTGGAAATGCCTCTAAAGGATTTCCATTTGTTGCAAAACATTGCTCATGTACACATAGTCACATGATGTGATCTGGGTGCTTGGCAATCTGATCACATCTAGCCCCCCAGCTGATCACACCAAGCCCCCCCCCCCCCGCATTCATGTGATTACCATTCACAATCCTCTCTGCCAGCTTCCCTAAAAAGTCAGTACAGAAGTCAACAGGGAAGGTTGCAAGCTGCTACGCTCTTTTCATCTCTGGGGGCTGATTGAAAGAGCTCCGTTCCAAATGTTTTCAGCTCCAAACAAGCAGACCCAAAGCTGAAATCCTTTTTCAAGGAGCTGCCTGCTGTTGAATTTCAGATCTGTACCGATTTGCATGGAGCTGAAATCCTTTGTGCCTGCACAGAACTGAAATCCTATCAGCTCTCCCAAGTGAATGAGACAGGATACATATCTATATGAGCAAAATCTACTTTATTATAAGGCCACACTAACAGATTCGTGCAAGTCTGAAAGTACAAAACTTCCTGCCACCCTTTTAACTGCTTTATCAAGGCAGGTCCTTTCTAAATTTCTTTCTCTGACCATGAAGCCACTGGGGGGTTGGGGGGGTTGCCTCTGTTGTCTGGTTGTTTCCTATGCAGCATCTCTTCCTCTCTTTCCCCAAGGTAATTTCCACAGTCCATTACACTGCCAAAGGATTTCAACTTCATGCCTACTTGCACAAGCTGAATTCCTTTAGCAGGAAGCTGAAAATTCTGCTTACATTTTGGAATAGAGTATTTTCAGCTCCTGAGTGGAGATGCAGGAGCACAGGTACCTCAAGGTGCCTCACACCCTTTATCTGGGACTTTGACTGGCAAGATTGCTTAGTGACTCCGTCTAGGAATGCCAAGATTGCTATCGCTGAGTGAAGCCATCATGTGATCTCTTGCTTAACAACTGCTTTGCTCAATGACAGATATTCCAGTTCAAATTGTGGTCATATGTCAAGATTGTGCCATGTCTTCATGTTTATTTATTTATTTATTTATTATTTATTTATTAATCAAATTTCTATACTGCCCTACTCCCGAAGGACTCAGGGTGGTGAACAGCCAAGATAAAATACAGATAATACAAATATTAAAAATCCCTTAAAACTATTAAATATTTTGGCCAAAACACAGATTAAAACACCCAATTTATAAAATCACGAATTAAAAATTTAAAAGAGGAGAGTTAGGCCAGGCCAGCCTGCTGAAATAAAAAAGTTTTGAGAGCACGACGAAACGTGCGCAGGTCCGGGATCCTCTGTATCTCTGGGAGGAGCTCGTTCCAGATGGTAGGTGCCCCCACAGAGAAGGCTCTCCCCCTGGGGGCCGCCAGTCGACACTGTTTGGCCGACGGCACCCTGAGGAGCCCCTCTCTATGGGAGCGTACTGGTCGGTGAGAGGCTATTGGTAGCAGAAGGCGGTCTCGTAAATACCCCGGTCCGATGTCATGGAGCGCTCTAAAGGTGGTAACCAAAACCTTGAAGCATTTTTTCTAAATGCTTTTAAAGCCTCTGACGATCCCAGCTGACTTGCCTGATCGGCAGAGGCTTTTTTTTCCTTTTAAAAACATTTTTTTCTATAACCTCTTCGGCTGAAGAGGTTGTAGAAAAAATGCTTTTAAAAGCCTCTAATGATCCCAGCTGAGCTGCGCGATCATCAGAGGCTTTTTTTTTTACTTTTAAAAGTAATTTTTTTTCGGCCAAAGAGGTTGTAGAAAAAATGCTTTTAAAAATTAAAAAAAGCCTCTGATGATTATGCGGCTCAACTGGGCAATGGGGGTGGGCAGGAATTTTTGCTACCGGTTCTCCGAACTACCCGCCTCCATCGCTACCAGATCAGGCGATCCGGTCCGAACCAGGAGCATTTCACCCCTGATATTTAGGCAATTTTTAGATTGTCTGGTATGTTTCTGTTGATTCTATTAACCAGGAATAAAATCTTCTTGATTATGTTGTAGCAAAAGCAATCTGGACAGCTATTGCAGCACTTTACCATGGAATAAGATTCTCCCAGTCTGTTGTTCTGGTCTGGATTAGAATGCACATAACCTTACAATCACTGTCCAGCTGGGGATTAGGGAAGACAACAACTAAGCTTAATTTGGTAGCTTTACCTGCCAATCTGTCTTTCTTTCTATCTCTGTCTTCACCCTTGTTTAACGGGGGAGGGGGAAGTTTACAGTCCTCTTCTTCCCTTTTTTAAATTTAACTACATGTATTGGGATAACCCTATGCAGTAGAACTAGGACTCCTTTTTATTACGCAAGGATATTGAAGCTCAAGAGCACTTATTTGTCTTTTTCTCGCTCATCTTTTCCATATTGCACTTTCAGATGCTGGACATGATTGCTATTTTCTCTGTACCAATTGTCTCATGGATGCCTTTTCTGTCTGCTTAGGGGTCTATGGAAGATGAGCACAATATCAGCAAAGCCACATCTATCATTGAAAGTCAGCATCACCACCTGCTGCATTGCCTGGAAAAAACAACTGTAAGTAGAAAGAGGGAGTTCTTTTGAGTCTTGTTTCACTCAAGCCCATGCAGTTAAAACAACAACAGCAACAACAACAGAAAAGGGGGTTATATATTAAATTTAGCCTGCCAGGATTGAGTCAATATTGAGTCTTGATAAGCCTAATTTTAATTGGAGTGCCATATTCTCCTCCCTCCCTGTAATAATGTTGTTATTACATTATGATTTATTGCAAATATGCAAAACTGTTATCAAATACACTTGTTAACTACAGTTGGGAGGGGGGGAAAGAAGCCGAAAAGGAAATATGTGCATAAGTTCTGAAATAGAAGTATGAAACCCGAGCAAGTTATTCATTGGCTACTCAATAATCATACTACAGTATTTAGAGTAAGGGTGAACAATGAATGGCCCTCTATATGTTTATTACACATGCCCTCATCTTTCACCGTTAACTATGCTGGGTAGGGCTGCTAAGATTTGGAAGTACTGTAAGGAACATCTAGAAGGCCATTTCTGTGGATCCATGATTAATATGAAAGCAATCTGCTGTATACCAAAGGACATTGCTCTCTTAGTTACCTTTGTAGTTTGATCATTTGGCCAGATGTGCCAGTATATGTGTATATGGAATATGCCCCTAAGTGCATATTGAAGGCTCCTAGTTGCTCTATGCAACTACCTCGTAATGATTACTGTTGCATTGGTATCCGTATCTTTATTATCTTAATAAACATTTTATTTTATTTATTATTTTACCCTTCTTCAAATTATAACATTTTCAGTCTTATCCTGCCTGTGTTGCTTTTTATACAAAGCAATAGACCTTCTTAAATGTATGAATTATACATGAGGAAAGTCCTATGAAGGCCTCTTGTGGGTACAGAATGCAAAGCCTTGGAGGAATTGTTGTCATTCTTGCAGCTGTAGGAACAAATAGAAAACCTTCACATCGAGAGCACAGAAGAAGAAAAAAAGAGAATTCTGGAGAATAGTGTATTACATAAGCATGTTCTACTATATGCAATAAATATTGCAAACATGTCTTGAATACTATCTCCACAATGAGAGCTAACAGAAAAATTCAGAAGGCATGTATTCACCTAACGTTAGTGAATATGTACAGCTAGCAAATATAGTTTATCTACTGTATTCTTCTTCTAGGCATAAGAAGGAAAGTGTATGTCCCTACAATTGCTACAGCTATTTTATATATATATATATATATATATATATATATATATATATATATATATATATATATATATATATATATATATATATATATATATATATATATATATATATATATATAGCAAAAAAATTAAAATCTTGGGTGTTTTCCCGTTAAAATATTTAAAATTCTTAAAACTTAAGAAGACATGTATGTGTGTGTATATATATTTGTTTTCTGAGGTTTTTGCAGTTGTTTGTATTTAGGTCTTTGGTTATTCGGGTTTTCCCCCACGTAAAATTAAAAGTGTCTTGGCGACATTTCGACGAAGTCTCATTCATCATCTTCAGGTTGACACCAGCCTGAAGATGACGAATGAGACTTTGTCGAAACATCGCCAAGACACTTCCAATTTTACGCGGGAGAAAACCCGAATAACCAAAGACCTATATATATATGTGTATGTGTGTGTATCAAACTATTGTAAAAATACGAGTTCCAGGTATATTAGTAAAGAATGAAGGAGACATTCTTCGAGCTCTGGAATTTAAATTTTTTAAATAATTAAAAAAAATTATTCTACTGACAAAAGCTTAATAGAATAAAACCTTTCAATTATTTTAAAATTTTAAGTTCCAGAGCTCACAGAATGTCTGCTTCTTTCTTTACACACACACACACACACACACACACACACACACACACATATATATATATATATAATCATGTAATTGTTTTATAATTTAGGAAAGATACATCAATAGTAAGGGAAATTCATAAGTCTGTTCTTCAGATTGAATTTATGTTATACACAAAAGTATTTTTGCATTTTCAAACCTACAAATTTGTGTTAAATAGCAGGTAATAAAACCTGCATCCTGATTCTGATTGAACCATAACAAAGGAGTACATTCTGACAAAGAATGTAATTATTTTCCTTTGAGCACAGAGGTACGGACATGGTTTATCCTATTCCTAAAATATTCCAAACAAAACCTACAAATTATTTTTCAAGGTTATTAGTATATCTCAATCCCTGATGATAATGATGATGATGATGATGATAATGTGTTGCCTTGCAGGATTTAGAAAAATATGTGAGAAAATAGATTATTAATTACATGAACTGCTTAAAATATTATAGCTTATTAAACTGGGGTTTTCCAAATTATATGAAATGCATATTTATGTTTTAAATTACATTATTTATAACTTAAATAAATGGTGAGCCACAATGAGACCTGAATTCAAAGTTTTTCTTAGCCATGAATCTGACTATGTGTTTTTAGTTAAATCATACTGCTGTTGTGAACATTAAATGGTATATCTTGATACCTGCTCTGGTTGAAAAATGGAATACACACACATACATACTGTGTACACACAAATACACACACCTAATGTAATCCCATTACTGAATTACAGAATAAACAGGGGAAGAGTAAGAACAAGGTACTCTCCCCAACTAAACATTATGAATACTGTGTTTGGATGGATTGTGGGGCACAATATCATTCCAGCTCCCTTCAATATGTATTATATATTTTTCAGAAGCTAGCTATATTGTCAGAATAATATATTCAATGAATAACAATGATTCAAATAATTAGTTGTTGAATTATTTTCAGCATAATTAACGGGGAATAGTCAAATACATTTCTAAAACTTTGGAGATTGGCTGTTTAAAGAAATAATTAATGAGCAAAGTATATGCAATCTGAATGAATAAGAATAAATTATTCACCAATCAGTTGAAATCTCTATCTACCAGAAATAGTAATGAAAATACATGTAGTGCTTCATCAGCATGGAATTAGAATCAGGCTCACTGCAATCTCAATCAGTAATAAATAGCTGTTAAGTTATTGGAAAGGGTGTGTTACTGTTGACCTAACCATCTATCATTTTGAACAGATAGGTTGTCATTCAAGGACTGACATTATAGCATGTTCAGTGTGTTTTTCAGTGCATTCATCAAAATAGTTCATTCAGCATTTGTGCTGAACATGCATGCCTTTCCATCATACTTAACTGACTAAAAAAACATCACACTAACACATTGTCTTATTGTAGACAATGAATTCTAGAGCCACTAAAGAGTTATTTTGCAGTGTCCCACAATTGCTAGTGGAATGAAGAATGACCTATACATAAGCATTGCTAACAGGTTTCAAGGGGCAATTCACCTTTCCTTAAATCAGAAATAATGCTTTGGGTATTGTCTATTGTCTAAGCTTTGTGTTAAAACATCCGAGATGTGATGAATCATCTCTAAATTCAATTAATTAAGTAAAACAATGTTGGAAAGGATTTGCTATCAATTTAAAAAATAAGCAAACAAATAATATTGTACTGAAATATTCAACTTTTTCTATATGAATATGCAGCTTCTATTTTCTTAGGTGCTTCCAGGCAAAGGTCTTTGAAATCACAGTTCCAATTGTTCCATCTAGTAATCACACTAGACCTTTTATCTTATAATTGGTCTTTTCCCAGCTTTCCTATCTCTGAGTCCCTTTTCCACACACACTCCCACTGTTAATCTAGAGTGATGTTTTCTTAACTGTGGCAATTTTAAAATGTGTGGACTTCAACCACCAGAATTCCCTAGAATGGTTGCAGAAAAATTCTGGGAATCAGAGGCCGCTCCTATTAAAGATGTTGAAAAACATTGATCTACAGTAATCTGTTCCAAATTAATATTTTCCAGAGTTTTCTGCTCCCAACCATTGAAAGCAGACCTGGAAAACGAGGTCCATTCCTTCCCAGTTTATAATTTGCAAGCCTTTGGCCGTTACTGACAATTCCTCAAAAGTTTAAGTGCTTTTCTCCATTAGTTAATTGTAGCCTCATTAGAATAGCCAGAGAATTCCAATTTTCTCCTTGGCTTCATGATACTAGCTTTGCTTATCCCCAGGCCAATATTTAGTCCATCTTATCTCAGTTTTTCCAAAACTGCCAAATATATAGAGTGAATAGAGTCAGAACAAAGCATCAAAATGGTGATGTTCTTTCTCTTATCAAAGCCAGAGTTAGATTCAGCTAAGACACACTGGTGAATAGGGCAGTGTGAACTATTCAAAAGGGGCACTTTATAAAACACCCTCTCTTGAAACATGAAAGCAACCTTGTTCTCCAGAAGGCTCAGTGTTGTTACTTTTAAGACTTGCTCCATTTGCCTGCATTATATGCAGGGGTGGGCTTCAAAAATTTTAGCAAGGGGTTCTCTGCCCAGTTACTGGGTGGGTGTGGCCATGGTAGGTGTGGCCTAGTCGGACTCCTGCACCATGGCGGGGGGGGGCGTTTTTGCCCTCCCTGGGCTCCAGAGGCTTTCCTCAAGCCTCCAGGAGGGCAAAAACAGCCTCCCCAGGCTCTGAAGGCCCTCTCGGCCCATTTCTGGCCTTTCCAAACTTCTGGTAGGCCTGTTTTTTGCCCTCCCGAAGCCTCTGCATGTGCCCTGCACTTACCTGCATCCAAAACAGGCTGCGTGGAGGCTCCTGGGAGGGGGGAAGGGCGGGGTGGGGCCATCCAGGAGTGTTTTTTGGTGGGTTCTCCAAACTGCACAGAATCTTAGCTAGAGGTTCTCCTGAACCGCTGCGAACCCCCAGCAGCCCACCCCGATTATAATATGTACATGCATACAGCCAGTTCCCTTTTCAGAAGTGTTTGCTATGCATATACATTCACACAGTCACACAGTAGCTGAGTGGGGAGAGGGAAGTATTAGTCAAGTTATTGCTCTGCTACATACCCCATTCAAAGTCTTTGTGCAGTCTTAATTCTTTGATCTGCTCTCCATAAAGAGGATTGCAGACTTACTACTTTATTCAGAAAGATTATTTATTATTTATTTTGGAAGGGTTTGTAACATTGGAGTTGCTTATAAAGAAGGAAAAATCCTTGCTTTAGGACTAAAAAGCTTTTACAATAGGACACAAAATAGCTTTGCAGTTGGAAATAGGATAAATACTTCACATAATAGAGGAAGAAGCAGAATCCCTAATGTATTATTTATCTTTCCCCAGGGATAAATTTTCTCACTTGACCCAATTGCACAGTTTTCTGTTTACAGCTGTTAAAGAATTGTCATAATGTTGTTTTCTTCTCTGTGAGAAGATGCCCAACTCTTTAAGAGCAGCTAGGACTCTAGTTGCCCAAATATAATTACTGAGAATTACTCAGGAAAAAAACTCAGGGAATGACTGGTACCGATAACTTTCAGTTAAATGTCCAATGCTGCATCTACACCTGAAGATCATGAAGGTGCAAGGTGGCAAGAATGGGCATTTTAAGGCAGAATACAGGAGAGTTTAAGGAGCTTTCCTTAATCTTGGTTGCAGCTCTGGGTGTTTGAATTGCTATTACTAAGATTTATCACAATTAGAGCCATTTATTACTGCTGCTGATGTTGCTTCTCAAAGAATATGGCTTAATATGGAACAGGTTTAGTTTCTGGAGAAGAAGCTGAGGACTTTTAGAACATCCAAAGAATAGAAGAAATCAGAAAGAGAATTGGAGTTGAGGAAAGAGATCATCCCTGCAAGTGCCCTGGAGAAAAAGCTTTCAGAGCAACTGAGGAGACCCAGGGAGAGAATCATGGCAGATGGGCAATGATCCTGGTGGTGCTGGCTCAGAAAGAAGACTGACACAATAAAGAAAGCTCCAGTTTGTGAAAGAAACAATTAACTGACCAAGTCAAAGGACAGCAATAAAATTCCTAAATTACAAATTTCCCTCATCCCTTTATTTTCCAGCATTCAGGCCGAAGGGTGGGGGAAAGGTGTGGAGGAAGGGGAAAGTAGCTTGTTAAAGAAGGTTTATTAAAAAATTACATTGCAATGTAAAGCCTTTCTGCTCCAAGTAAAAAAAAGAAAATTGGTAGGAGTAGAACTGGTAAAACTTTTTCTTGTTACAGGAGAAAAAAAGTTAAGGGAGGAGAAAGCAGTTAATTTCAACCTTTAATTTGTTCATCTAAACATTTGGAAATCATAAAACAAATTTTATGTATGCAGCTGCACTTTAGAAGCATATTTAATAAAAGCAGTACAGTATGTAATAATTTGTAACTAATACTCAGATAACGAACAAAATTATACCATAATAGTAAATAAAAATAGGTTTTGTCAAAGGTTTAAGTTGTTTGTACTTATTGACTGGGAATATAACACTACAGTATTTTGAAGAATTTAATTTAATTTAATTAATTCAATTTAATTTAATTTAATTTAATTAATTCAATTTATATGCCACCCCCCTCCGAAGACTCAGGGCGGCTCACAATACATTTTAAAAAATCATTATAAAAAACATTTAAAAATTAAAAACATTAAAAACATTAAAAACTCATTCACGCCTTTCATGGCTGGATCTCGCCAGATCACAAGAGCGAGATCAACGGCCCCAGGCCTGCCAGAAAAGCCAGGTCTTCACCGCTTTTCGGAAGGCCAATAGGGCAGGGATGGTCCGGACCTCAGGAGGTAACTGGTTCCAGAGAGCTGGGGCTGCCACAGAGAAGGCCCTCCCCCACGGGCCCGCCAACCAGCATTGTTTAACTGACAGGACCTGGAGGAGACAACTCTGTGGGATCTTACCAGTCGCTGGGAGCTATGCGGCAGAATAATTTCTCAATATCCTCCTTGCTTAATGTTTTTCTATTAAAAAGCCTCTAATTTATAAATGGGAAAGCATGGGTTGATTATAATTAAATCATGAAATTACTTGCACTGAAATTTTCCTTGAATAAGGCAGACACTGTCCAATATAGGTCTGGAAGCAACCTCAGTTTTTATCAATCAGCTCTATGGTTCATGTTGCCTAGGCATTTCCATTTGAGAGAGCCTCCATTAGTGGCTTATACAATAATTTTCTTTTTTCCTGGCTATTTGGGAGGCTTCTGCTACCAGTGCGATGACAGTTCAATCTAAAATAAGCTTGAGGAAAGGCCTCATTGCCCATTCAAACGTGTGAGATGCTAGGCACAATGCTGGGATTGGATTTTGGAATGCTGGAATGGACAATCAATGGTGTTTTTATCTTTTGTTGACATGTTGTCCTCTAGGGATTGTCCTATCTTGTGGATGATCCCCTGTTATCTGTACGAACTTCCACCTACAAGGTATTTCTTTCTTAATTCAATCTGTTTACTGCCATCTCTGTGCCATGTCTCAAGTGTTGCTTCCTTCCTTGTGATGATCCTGTTTTTAACAGATGGTGCATGTTGGAGCTTTTTTATTATCTGTTGGCTTTGAGCACTGTTAAGACTATTGAATGAGGGACAGCAATTGCTTTATCTATTTTTAAAAGCTCAAATATGCTAAATGTGAATGTTTAATTATTTGATGTGGATGTGGCAGCTTTGAATATGCTAAGATGTTTGTTTTTCCTTTTAACTCTTATCATAAATAAAGTTCCATTCATTTCTCACCTATTTGCTGAATACCTATATTATGCATTCCTGATCTACCTATTATTATTTTTTTAGATTGCAAACTATAAAAATTCTTATCCAAGATTTCTACTTTCATGTTCTGGATTTATGTAAAACATAGTTGAGAATTGTTGTAGCCTGTTGAAAATGTCCTCAGTTTTTGTTTTTTTGTTTTTGCTTTAATTTATATGCCGCCCTTCTCCGGAGACTCAGGGTGGCTTACAATGCATTAAGCAATAGCCTTCATACTTTTGTATATTTATACAAAGTCAGTTTATTGCCCCCACAATCTGGGTCCTCATTTCACCTACCTTTGAAAGGATGGAAGGCTGAGTCAACCTTGAGCCTGGTGAGATTTGAACTTGCAGTAATTGCAAGCAGCAGATGTTAATAACAGTGTTTAGTCCACTGTATTACAGGCTCTTCCTCAGTGTATGAGGGCATTTCATTTTAGGATGAAGTCACAGACAATATACTTACAACATCTGTAAAAGACATCTGCAACAATTTATTTGATTGTTGGGAGCTGCCCAGAGTCATTGAAGGTTGGACAGCATAGACATTTTATTATAGTGGTCAGCCAGCTGTTTAGACTGGATTTTTGCATTTTTGTCCAATTATCAAGTCCTTCCTGATGATGATGATGATGACGACAACAACGATGGAGATGAGGATGGTCTCCAGAATGCTAGATTAAAGCTTTTCCACTCATTGCATCCCAGTAGAAAATATAAATTTTCTGTGAATAGTTCTACACTATTCAACTAAAATGGCTTCATTAATCATTATAAATGATTGCTCCATTGCAAATTATTATCTAAGTTATCTTATCTAAGAAAAGATAAAATACTACTTTATTTCCACTTATTTGCCATGTTAATCACAACCATGCCTTGTTTGACTCAAAGTTGAAGACATCTGAATTTTCTTAAATGAAAATTGACAGCTGGTTTATTACTTTGGAATTCTTGTAAACAAATCTCAAAAACAAACAATTCTTTATGTGTTCTGCACTACTAGTAACCACTTTGTTAATAAAATTTCATTCCAGAGTTTTATTCAAATATATCCAATGGTCTGTTTCTGAATGTTCAAATAGGCAATATATAGCAATTATATATAGCTAAAAGACTACCCCCACTTTAATAGGTCACCCAGCAAAGTTGAATTAAATGCTTTTCATTTCAAACCTTGTGAACAAGAATTCCCTTGGAGAATACCTTCTGATGTTACTCTCAAAACATGAATTGAAATTATTTGCATGAGTATATCTAGGAGAACATGTTCTTGGGTATGCCCCTATTTATAGACTACTTAGATTTGTCTCAGAGACTTGAGATGCATAATGATGTTCCATTCAAAAAGATGGTCAAAAGCACAGATTGATAATCAGCTGTTTTTATCATAATATACAATTAGTATTTTTAATTACCACAACCTACCTATCTATTAAAAGACAGCTTAAATAATGAACTTTATTTTTTGCTTCAAATAATGACAATCTTCGATTGTGTAGTTATATCTTACAAATATTCTGGACTATATATGTACTATTTTCCATGGAAAAACAACTTGCTGCAGGCATCAAAAAAATTTAGTTTAAGCCTACAGAAAATATATAAGGGTACAAAATTGAATTGGCCCAATGAAGCTTAAGTTCAAATATTCAATAAGATTATTTGATTGCTATCAACAAATCAAAGTTACTTCTCAAGTCAAAATCAAAAATTCAAATCAAACATCACATTGAACTGAATGCTTTAATTGATAAAAACTGTCAAACTGAATTAAATCATCTTAGCTTTCTGAACTGATATTGGCATTGTAGCTGGTCAACGCAGTAATCCTAACTGAATAAACTATGTCTATCAAAAAAGCAACCCACACTAACTTAATGTTCCATTACCAAAGTAACAACTCAATCTCCCACAGGTGCAGTTGTGTAAAAGCATTATTCATACAAACACATTGCAGCAACCCAGGATACCAGAAAAAAAAGAAACTAACTGTTCAGTTTTCCATACAACTTTATCAAAAACTGCCTGACCACGCAACCTATTGCCACACAACAACCAACACATTATGAAAAGAGTAACATTGCCATACATCAAAAACATCTCAGAAACAACCAACAACCAGCAGACTTACAACCACATGGCATCATTATAGCACACAAACCAACTAGACCCTTCCAAAACATCTTAAGTCAACCAAGACCCAGTAGCCCAAGAAGAAAAAACAGGAATCAACACACATTATAAGGACTATTACAAACACTAGGTAAGACAGACAGAAGAGCTATGAACACCAACTAGCACTCAGAAAACATGATGAAAACTCCTTCATTGTAGAACATATGGACAGATTCAACATAGTTTCAACTAGTAAACTGTGAGCATCTAAGCTACATCCAAAAACACTATGGTAGCTTGGCATTTAGACAAACCAGCCATTAATAAACACACAGAGGTAAACCAAATTTACACACTATTCAAAAGAGACAATGAAAAGCTAAGAAGGAAACAAAAAGACAAGAACAGATCCCCTCCGGCAACCAATACCCAGGTAAAATCAGACAAAAACTAGGCAAAAACAATACTTTAATGATTAGTATTGTATTGAAACCACCAATGAGTATTGAAACCACCATGGGGAAAAAAACACATCCTGATCTATACTGACAGGGCAAGGTACTGTATATAAACAGGGAGCAAACTGGTGATGTTACCTGGTCAGGTAATGAAATGCCTGCAAGCAACCAAGCTTAGAGAGCACCAAGGACTCCGCCGTTCAACTATATCAATTATATTGGAGTTGATTTATAACAGTTCAGAAATATGGCATCGGCATTTGGCATCCACATATTTGAATGTCGGGTTTTCTTTTAAAATACATTAATATCTGGAAACAAATATACAATATCAGGTTAGGATACTTAAATTTATTCCCTAATAAAAATAGGAACTATTTCTTAATTTAGGAAATGTTTATTTACTGAATCACACCAATCAGTTATGCAAGTACTTCCACATTTAGCTGTCAGGATATTTCCTCCTGATATTCAACAGCAAAACAAATGTTCAGACTATGGAATTGGATATAACTGAACTATATTACCATAAGCAAATTATTTTTCAACATGACAGCCAGATGCATTTTAAAGAAAGGAAATGCTGTCACGATTCCCATGGAGAACACATAAAAGTGTTTGAAAGTCTAACTCTGATTACTGATATATGTTGATGTTCTCTCTGACAGAACCATGAGTTCATTGATGAGCAGATGTTTGAGCAAAACTGCTTGGAGAGCTCAATGCAGAATTACCCATCAACCCGAAGCCCTTCCCTTTCAAGTCAACAGGGCTTGACTACCTCCTGCTGTTCTCGACGTAGTAAGAAGACAACGCACCTCCCCAATTCCAATGTGCCAGCAACCCGACTACGGAGCATGCAGGAGCTCAGCACTATACATATCCAATGCAGTGAACAACCCTCACTCACAACAAGGTACAGTGGAGAAGAGGGTGGGTTCATTGATGTAAGGGGACTAGCACATAGGCATCCAGCCCAAACATGGAAAAATGGTTTTAGGTACTATGCTGAGTTTGCATTCAAGATAATTTTCCAGGAGAGTATTTGAAAGTATTTGGCTAATTCTAAAATTTAAATCTGCATTTTCTAATTCCACATTTAGCTGGATGATGGAACTCTGACATATATTTTGTTATATATTACTCTTAGTCTTCTCATCGTTCCTATCACCCATCTCCTCCCACTTATGACTGCATAACTGTAACTTTGTTGCTTGTATCCTTATGATTATATTGATTTGATTGCTTATTTGTACCCTATGACTATCATTAAGTGTTGTACCTTATGATTCTTGATGAATGTATCTTGACTTTTTATGTACACCAAGAGCATATGCACCAAAGATAAATTCCTCATGTGTCCAATAACACTTGGCCAATAAAGGATTCTAGTCTAGTCTAGTCTAGTCTAGTCTAGTCTAGTCTAGTCTAGTCTAGTCTAGTCTAGTCTAGTCTAGTTTTATACAGTCATGGCTATTAATGCAAGGATTAAGAAACCAAAAGTAAGATCTTAAATAACCACCACCTTGAGATATTTTGGAATTGCAACTCATGGTATATCCATTATCCATGGTATATCCTCTTATACTCATGGTATATACTCATGGTATTATTTTTATAGGAATTCTCAAAAATGCCAGCCTAATATTACTGGAGTGTATCGAATTGGGGAAAAGCTGCCTTATGCAATGACAAGCATCATCCAGTAAACTTTTAAATAACTAACATATGACACTCAGATGTCAGGACCTAACCTTCTGCAGAGTGTATTGATCTGTTGTATGGGCTTTTATGAATTAGATGGCAAGTTACTGTGCATAGCAAAAAAACAAAATTTGCTATAAAATTTGTACATTTGCCCAAAATGAAGGCAGAGAGAAGCACAGCTTTCAAAAACCAAATCTGCAATTTGTCTTTAATATAAAAAATATAATATAAAATATCTGAGATCTAATATAGACTTTGTTATATATAGCTGGAAGACAAAACAAAAAAATTCCAAGGTGCTATTTCAAAGAATGCAGCAAAATTGGATTAATTTTGTTTGAAATGCAAACAAAAGAAAGTAACTAATTTCGCTGGTTAGGCTATGGTTCAGTTAAAAACAATGTGTTATTGACAATAGTTTATGTAGTTCTAATTCATTTTTTCTTTCCTAACTTAAAAAGTTTTCAGTAGCAAAAGAAAAACATACCAATGTTTCAAATGAGTTGCGTTTTTCTTCTCTCAGTTTATTTTTTTAAAATCAGCTTAAAAGCAAATATAACTTCATCCCTTGCATATTGGTAAGTGGAACTGAAACTTCAGCTTCTGTTCTCTTTTTAAATACTACTGAGCTGTCACTTCCTTCTTGGGTAAAGATCCTTGATAGGGCACTAATCTATCATTAGTATCAGAAGAAAAAAAATACAAATTGTTTCACTCATGTACATGGAAGAACCATTTAGAAGCAAGAACTAAGCAGCTACTTTTCTGAAATCAAGTTCATATGAACTTAAGGATGGAGAAATCTGCCTTTTCTTTTCTGTCAAAACTGACTTTCAAGATTTCAAGATTTTTTTTTCCCAGTCCTGACCTGCATTCATATGATCAATGAAGTGGTAACAGATCATCTTCTGCTTCACTGAATGTGTCTGCAAAGTCTCAGTATTAATGGATGGGGATGGTAGTGATCAAATTGAGATCTTAATGAAAATATGCTCCTCCATTTATTTATCAAATTTATATGGCTACCTATATCATAAAATGATACTTAGGCAGCTTACAGAAAAAAAAGTATAAAACAATAAGCATGTTACATTTAAAAAAAGTTTTAAAAAACACACATAATAACACAAAAGAGCTTCAATCATCTATGTTGACACTTAATAATTAAAATGGAAAAAATGGAAAGTGGAACACATAACTAAATCTGCAGAAATGAAGTCAGGAAACTAAGGTACAGAATGAACTAACAACAAATACCAAAAATAATTTTAAAAGTTTCTTTCAACATGAAAAAAATGTCAAGGAAATGATCAGTTCACTAATGGGACAAGATGGCAAGGAGGTGACAGGTAGTGGGAAAAAGTGGAACTGCTTAATTCATTCTTTGCCTCTGTCTTTATACAAAAGGAAAAAATAGTTTAACATATCAAAAGTAGTATTGTAGAAGACAGAATAGGAATACAAGTCAAAATAGTCCAGAGAATACTTATCCATTCTAGACAAGTTCAAATTGCCAGACCAGATGGATTACATCCCAGGGTTCTGAAAGAGCTAGCAGACATGATCTCGGAACCACTGAGCATAATTTTTCAAAGATCCTGGAGCTCTGGGAACTACCAGAGAACTGGCATTTTAGCTGCCAAATGAGACTGAGAGGCACTCGCAGACATATTCAGTGAAGCAGAAGATGATCAGTTAGCACTTCAGTGATCATATGGATGCCCTGTTGATCTGATGCCTGGGATCAAGATCCCAGTTGGGCAACTCAACACCCTCTTAGGACTTGAATTGGCAATCTTCACTGATATTTTTTTAATTCAATCCTCATCCTCTCCTGCAACAGCTCCTATACTGAACATTCATAAAAATAAAAAATTGGGAAACCTTAGGCTCTGAAATGATTGCTGGCAATTGAACCAGATTACCATGCATAACCTTATCTTTTGTCACTCATTTCACAACTTCTGGAATGGTTCTGAAAGGCTTGGTGTTTATCAAGCTGGACCCTTAGAAAAGCATATAATTGTTCTGCCCCAGCTTCGAATTCCCAGAGAATGTGACACACACCAAGCTTCGCAAACACTGTTTTTTTTTATTGAAAAGTTTTATAGAAAGTACAAACATTTTCATCCCCCCACCCTTCCCCCCTCAACCCCCCTCCCTTTCCCACCCCCCCCCTTCCCCTCCTTCTCCCCCACCCCCTCCCTAGACTTCCCAGAACAAGCACAGGGTATAGCATTCACAAATCAAAAGCTAAAATATACTAACAAATTATTACATTTCATATTCTCCCTTGATCCTTAACTCCTTATAATTCAAAAAACAAACATAAATTACTTAAGATTACTTCATTCATATGCTATATGAATCTTCTTATTCGGATACTTCTTCTGTATATAATCGATCCATCTTCTCCATTCCAATATGTATCTTTCATTTGAATGGTCTTTAAGATATGATGAAATTTTCACCATTTCTGCCAAGTGCACAACTTTTAATATCCATTCCTCAATGGTGGGTGGATCTTCCTTCTTCCAGTACTGTGCCACCAGTAACCTGGCAGCCGTTATTAAATTCAAAACCAACTTAGTCTCTATTACATTACAATCCATGACTATTCCCAACAGAAAAAACTGTGGCGTAAATTTGATTTTTTTCTTTAAAATGTTTTGAATAATCCACCATATTTTTATCCAAAAAGCCTTAATTTTTTTACATGTCCACCATATATGAAAATATGTAGCATCTTTACACTCACATCGCCAACACTTAGGTTGTAAGTTTGAATACATACAGGGTAATTTTTTGGGGTCTAAATGCCATCTATAAAACATTTTATAAAAATTCTCCCTTAAATTTTGTGCTTGTGTAAATCTTACATTTCTAACCCATATCTTTTCCCATGTTTCCATCATTATTGGTTCACCTACGTTTTGTGTCCATTTTATCATACAGTCCTTAACTAACTCTGTTTCTGAATCTATTTCCACTAATGCACTATATAACCTTTTTATATGCATTTGACCTTTATCTCTTGTTTGCTTTATCAAATTCTCATCCTGCTGCAAAATACCAATTTTTTGATCTTCTCTCCATCTGGCCTGCAGCTGTCCATACTGAAACCATGTCCTAATAATTCCTTCTTCTTTTAATTGCTCCATTGATTTTAATTGTAATCTAACTCCTTCCTTATAAAGAAGTTCCTTATATGTAATCTTATCTTGCTTTTGCTCTAAGTTTATATTCTCTATCGCGTGTCTGGGTACTGTCCATATTGGTAACTTGTCACTTAATTTATATTTATACTTTTTCCAGACACGCAATAGGGAATTTCTTAAAATATGACTTTTAAAAGCCTTATCCACTTTCTTGTCATAGACTAAATAAGCATGCCAGCCGTAGACCAAACCATATCCTTCAATATTCATTATCTTCTCCTCCGTTAAATTTATCCAGTCTGTAATTGCTGAGAGGGCAGCAGCTTCATAGTACAATCTTAAGTTGGGCACTTTAAGACCACCTCTTTCTCGAATATCTTGCATTATCTTTTGTTTAACTCGAGGTTTCTTCCCTGCCCACACAAACTTATTTATGCCCTTCTACCATTCCTTCAAATTTTCATCTTTTTTAAGTATAGGTATCATTTGAAAAAGAAATAGGAATTTTGGTAAAATATTCATTTTTTTTATTTTTTATTTTTTTTTATTTGATTTATATGCCGCCCTTCTCTGGAGACTCAGGGTGGCTTACAATGCGTTAAGCAATTTTTACAGCGGCTATCCTTCCCAGCAAAGACAATTGTAGTTTTTTCCAATTTTCCATCTCCTTTTGTATTTTATGCCATAGTGGTTCATAATTGTGCTGATATAATTTCATATTTGCAGTCATAATATAAACCCCCAAGTATTTAACCTTCTTAACTACCTCAAATCCTGTTAACCTTTCTATCTCTTCTTTCTGGCTTCTCACCATATTATTTTCGTTTTTGCTGCATTTATTTTAAAACCAGATACTTGTCCATATAAGCAGGTTATGTCCATCAAGGCTGTAATCGATTGTGCCAGTTGGGTTAAGGTAACAACCAGGTCATCCGCAAATGCTCGTAACTTATACTCATGCTGTCTAATTTTAATTCCCTTTACTGTATCCATCTCACGTATTTTATTTAGTAGAACTTCCAGCGTCAACACAAACAATAATGGAGACAGGGGCAACCTTGCCTTGTTCCTTTCTCTATATTAAAAGAATCTGTTAAGCCACCATTAACTATTATTTGTGCTGATTGTTTTTGATATATTGCCTTAATAGATTGTACAAATTGTTCTCCAAATTGCATCCTTTCTATTAATTTTAATAAAAATTGCCAATTCAATCTGTCAAAGGCTTTTTCAGCATCCAAAAACACTAACACTGCGGGGACCTGGTTGTTCCTTCCCAGATACTCTAATAAGTTAACAATTTGCCTTACATTACTCTTCATTTGTCTGCCATTTATAAATCCAGTTTGATCATGGTTAATCATTTGCTGCATAACTGTCATTAGTCTATTTGCTAAAATTTTAGAAAAAATCTTATAGTCTGTGTTCAATATTGAGTTCGGCCTATAATTTTTAGGGTCTGTTTCGTCTTGCCCTTCTTTTGGGATCAACGAGATAAATGCTGTCTTCCAAGTTGGAGGCACCTCTCCTCCCTGTTGTATATTATTAAATAATTCTTTCAATGGTTCCACCATTTCCTCCTGTAAAGTTTTATAGTAAATAGCTGTCAGACCGTCCGTCCCAGGAGCCTTACCCACTTTCAATTGCTTAATTGTTAACACAATTTCCTCGGAAGTTATCATTTGATTTAAACTATCCCTCTGTTCATTTGAGATTGTATAAATATTTTCCTTCTGCAAATATCTATCTATATCTATATCTTTGATTTTATCACCAGTATACAGCCTCGAATAAAACTCTAGGAAAGATTTTTTAATCAGTTGTTGCTCATAAACCTCCTTACCCTTATATCTTATTTTCTCTATTGTCCTTGATTTTTGCTTTTTCCTTAACAGATATGCTAACCACCTGCCTGGTTTATTGGTGTTATAAAAAGTATTTTTATAGTATAAAAACAGCAAACACTGTTTAATTCCAAACAAACCCCTCTCAAAGAATGCAGGCTTCCCGTGTAAAGGGTCCTTATCAAAGTTATTAAGAACAAAGTCCGACAAAGGTTGGCAACCAGCCCAGAAAACCAGATATGAGAAGTCGCTCGCTCTCCAAGATGGTCTGTAGTAATGAGACGTTGTTTCTAGCAAGAAAGCACTAGCTGCGTGCGACTTAAATAGGCTAAGGGGCTGGCCAATTATCCTCAAGCCCTACTCTCGAGTAGACCTCCTCCTCCTGAGTAGCCACTCCTGCCTTTTGGCAGCCCTGCGTGCCTGAGCATTGAGGAGATGCTCCTCCACTTCGCTCTCTCCACTGGAAGGAGCCTCTGGAGGTTCTGAAGGCCCTGGCTGAGTTTCTGCCTCTGGCATCACATCCTCTTTGGCCTCTTCACTGTCCCACGCGAGCGCAGGCTGCTGGCATGACACCACACCAGCCTCCTTGTTGTCGGGATCAGCCACGATCCACACAGGCCGCTGGCGGGCCACAACAATAATGTAGTGTACATTAGTAAAAGAGATGAATGAAAGATGGTGTTTCCCATTCAGTATGAGCATTTCAAATAATACAGTCATGCTCTTTGGGTTGACTAATGCTTTCACAGTCTTCCAGCATTTCATGAATGATGCTTTCTGACATCTCCTGGATCACTACGTCATTATTTACCTCAACGGTATTCTGATTTTCTCCTCATCCTGAACAATATATGCAATTACCCACATTAATTCAATGTGAATTACAGTTCTCTTATAGCTGGAATTTATATTATGTTCTGGCTAGCGAGAATCCTGCTTAAAATCATCTCTTTCCATAGAAACTTAAATCTACCCCTTTTAGATAACATACCACTCCCATAAAATTTAATTAGAGCTACATTTATAAACGTTACTTAGGAACATCAAGTCAGGCATAAATAATGCTTTATGAATTCTTTTATTTCACATATGTATGTACAGATAATAGTATTTATAGACTGCAAGGCGATAATGTCAAATTTTCTCTTTTAAGCAAAGTACAGTAAGCCTTCAGAAATATGCACTGATAGAGTTAGCTAATCATAATAGTTGAAGAAGGCTTGGAACTGCAATGAGTAGGTGTTTTTCTTTGATTGTAGGAAGGCTTTTTTTGTTTGTTTTTTGGAGAATATTTTCTAATTAGGAATATGTGAGCCAGCACCAAGTGATGCTTGGATATGAAGGCATACCTATTACAACAGGAAGGAGGAAAGCAAGTTCCAGACAAATATTTAGTGACCACTATGGCACAGAGAAATTAAAAAGAGTGTTTCTACATTGGGACACGATTGCAAGAGATGGAACAACTGTCTGTCAATTACATCTTAAGTATTCTTAATCTAATTTTGTATGTCACCTCACAGAACCTGGCAATCTTGTATGTTATTTCAGAGTTAATATCAGAAAATAAGAACTGGTGATCATTGTATGCTTGTTTTACTAATCAGAAGTGGGGCAATTAAGGCATTTCAAGGTGCTGTATAAAACTGGCAGTACAAAAGAAAATGTTCTACTTGTCCTGAATCACAAGGACATACTTGTAAATGTTATGATATCTTTTTGTATCTTCCAGCTAGGAGTGCTGAAAGTAGTGCACTACATCAGGCTAAAGTAATGACCCTTCTCTGGTTGGGAATATTAAGGTTTGCAAGGTGCAAGGATGTATCACTGACTGTCCGTCATGGGAAATTGAGTAGTATTACCCACATCCATTTGTCGGTCTCTGTCATACAGATGTTGCTAGAGTGTGGTTCTTGCACGCTCATAGCCCAAGGATAATAGATATATGGGGAAGAGTCCTAAAATTGGGAGTTCAAACATATACAAAGTTTGCAGCAGCTCTGTTCTTACCTTCTATTCCTTTAAAATGAATGGAAAATGTCTTTTTATCTTATAGTCGCTCCAGTCTAAACATGAAATCAGATGATGGTCTGAGACCGAACTGCAAAGCTCCTCAAATAACCACAGCAATCATCAGCATCCCAACACCACCGGCCCTGGTACCAGAAGGTGAAAACAGGCCTTCCTCCTCCAACCCCAGCCATTCAATGAACACAATCATGGCTAGCAGCAACATTGTCAAGGTTTCAGCTTTGTAAGACTGGCTTGGTCAAACATGATGGCAGTAGATTGGAAGGCCAATCTTTCTCCCTTTCTCCCCAACTTCCATGTTCCTTCTTTGCTGCAAATTGTGCCTAGATGAATGGCTGGATGGACAATGGACCAACCTGACCAACATCTAAGAACTGAGGATGAGAGCCGAAGGAGGCAGCTTCCTTCAAACTCACATTCATGCTGCAGAGCGAGCTCAGAAGAATCAGGAAGCTGTGTTTGTATGTATGGGTGTATGCGTGTGTGTGTGCATGTAAGAACAGAGTGGCCAAAGGATCTCTCTTTGACAAGTTGAAGCCTTGTTCTAAGACATGAGGCGTAGAATAGTTTTGGATAGTGATATATATGTCCTGTCATAACTACAAGAAGGTCAGTAAAGAAGTAGAATTATAACACTGTGTATCTCAACACCTTTTTAAAGGTTTTTAATGGATAATATTTATTCATGAGGAAATGACTGAAAAAGGTGACCAAAATGGATTTTGTGATATTTTTTTTTCTGTCTTCATGCAGCAGGATCTTTTATTAACCAAAATGACTTCTTTATTTTGTTTTATACCTAAACATTTAAAAAAAAAAGAATGCATCCTGTCACACAAATTTAATTTTCATTCTTTTGTGCATGTGTGCATGCGTGTGTAAGAACGAATAAGAGAACCACAAAACTGGCATTTTCCAACTATGAAAGATCTGAGCACACATTCCTGTTTCTGGGCTCAATCCTGCAAAGACTTACTGTTTGCATGGTCAACAACATGCTTTAAGTAATGCCTGTGGATTCAACGGTTCTACCTACTGTCCATCCCTTTCTGCATGAGTGTGTCTTTGCAGGCTTCAGCCTTTAGTGCGCAGTAGCAAAACAGATGCCTGCATGCAGCCACACACACACACAAGCACTAATGAAACATTCATTTTAGATGGCACTTTTTCTTAACACAATTCTGTAATTGCCTTTAATTCAACAAAAATTGCAGTTGCAAACAGTGTATTTGTCTGCTAATTATTGTCTGTGAAAAAAATCATATTTGTGGAACAAAAGAACAGGCTTTCATAGTTCACCACAATTCTTTGCTTTTCAAAGTATTACTTTGGTTATCACAGATTGGTAGAGAATGTGATTAGATTAACTAGTTCTGTATTTTTAAAGTCCAGAAAATGGCCTCGGGAAAATTTAATTTTTTTAAAAAATTATTCAAGCAAGTTTCAGAGGGCAAAATCATTTGAAGCAGCTGCTGCAGATGTTCATAACTGAAATGTAATCTATGCCCATGCTTTCTTTTATGTTTTATATGTGTTTCTTTAATAGTAATGGAAGTGTCTCCCATTGTATATAATAGCCAATAGTCAGTGGATGTGTCCTTTGTTAGGACTATTTTAAGAGCCAAAACTTTTGCAGTCCTGTGGCTCTTAATGAAACTCTCTGGGTTGCATTGGCTTAATGGATACAGCAATATAATATTTTACTTTCCCTAGATAAAGTATCATTTCTTTTCAATGAGGAGATGTTGCTTTTAGATTTGGGGGGGCCTACTTTATATTAGAATTTCATTTCTAATCAATTTATAAAATACTGTTAATAGATGGTTTAAAAATATCTATGTTTCAGAATAGTTCACCAATTGTTAACTGTTGTTACACTGTTTAGAAAGTTTAGGACTGTGAGGTATAACCATCTAAAGCTTTATACCGATATTCTCCTAATGTCTTTCTCTGGAAGCAAACCTGCGTGGCCACATTTATGCCAAGAAGACACACACTGCTTCACTGTACACACACTGTACTCTTCTTTTCTTACTAAATTGTGCAATTTATTAACCATCTTAGATTTGTTTAAGCTTTGACATATCTGATGTCCACAACATGCTGTCTTTTGATACCTTGCTTCATTTTCATATATCTTCACAAAGTATATAGCCCAAGACATTTTGAGCTAGAATTTGTGTTGCAAAAGGAAGACAGACTTTGCTGATTCAAGCATTGTTCAGACCAAAAGGGGAGAAAAAAACTTTGCTGAAAAAGTTATCTTCTGTATGGGTTTTGTTTTGGGTTGCTTTTTTCACATTAAAATTAAAGGTATCAGATGAGCAATTATTGGAAACCACTAAATGGTAGAATTCACATGTTAATACATCTTAAACTGAGTCTGGAACCAAAGTTTTGAGCAGGATGTGACCAGCTCTTTGAAAACTGAATTTCAAAGAGCTTATAAAAAAATCCCACCTTTGTAAACGTTTCCATTTTGAGTTGTTAAAATGAGGCATTCCTGCACATTGCACCATAAGAGGTCTTATCAGCTGAAGGATTCAACTAAGGCAACTCTAAATTCTATCCATTGGCTTATACAAAAAGCTGGATCCATGCATTATGCTAAACAGGAAATTTTGATAATCTGTTGCTTAACACTGCGTCTTGTAATTTAAAAAATAAAGTTGGACATGCTGTATGTCCCCAATATATTGAAAAACTCATTATTCTAGTAATCTGAAGGAGGCCTTAATTTGCCATCTAAAATGTCAGTGCCTGGGTTAACCCCAGGGTTATCTGCAGTGGTTGAAAGAAATCAGGATGGCAATTATGACTATACCATCTAAGCTGGGCCCCTTTACATATGTCTGATGCAAAAAAAAAAATTGTGAGATCACAGGATTACATACACCATCTGGACATTTTTGCTTTAACTATTCCTGGAGATATTTCTGGTTTAGCTTGTGAAATTATGAACTGATTTTTTTTTTAATTTCGGAGTTGTCCACTTCATATCTATATATTGAACTCTTACTTAGTAACTACCACCCATCTCATACACTTTGATGGGGCGAAAGGTTACTGGGTAAAGAACTGTTGCCTTGTTTTCATAATTTCACTGGTGATGTTAATGCTGATTGAATTACTTGCCAGATAGGCTAAGCTGCTAGTCTTTCTTTTCTGATACTAGTACATAATCTAAAGAAAATGATCATGCAATTTACAGAAATGCCTTATTGAAGCTTTCCTTTGCTTCATTTAGCTTCATTTAGGTTACATTATACCTTAATCAGTTCCTACCTAGGCAATCTGAAGTATATTCCTCCATTCTCTTTAACATACTGTGTTGATTTTTGTTCCTATGCAAAGGATAGCTGTAGAAATCTTAGTTTTGCCCTATATCCAATTCATTTCACCCCATTAGCAGAAATAAGACTATCTGTTTGAAATAGCGAATTATGTAAAAATTGGGTTTCGCTCTATTGAGTTTCAATCTACTCACAGTATAATCTACCTTTCTATAGGAAAAGTTTGATCCTTTAAACTGCCTTCAATTACAACATACTTTCCAAATTTCAATTATTTCCCCCAAAAGTATAGCGGGAAGCTACACACAATACAGCAGTAGGCATATATTTGCTGCCTCTGGCATAACAATGATATGCAAATAGTTTTAAACATGGTTTATGTCATAGTGATGGGTAAACTAAGCTACCATGGCTTGTTTAACAATCCTGTTAAAACAAGCCAAAGGATAGCTTACATGTCTACCCAACAGAACATTATTATCCAGCAATCACATGTGTTGATATGTATCGTACCATGATTCATACCAGATGATGTGGTGGTGCAGTTATTAGAATGCAGTATTGAGGCTAATTCTGCCTACTGCCAGGAGTTCGATCTTGACCAGCTCAAGGTTGATCAAGCCTTCCTTCCTTCTGACGTTGGTAAAATGAGGACCCAGATTTTTGGGAGCAATATGCTGACATTTGTAAAGTAATGAGAGAGTGCTGCAAAGGACTGTGGAGTGGTATATAAGTACTAGTACTAGTGCTATATAGATAACATAGTGTAGTAGACTGGTACTGAATTCTAACAAAGATGATTATATGCAAAGAAAATAGAAGCCCTGTCACTTTCATACATCTAGAACATATTTTAAGCCTGAAGCTAAGCAGCTGCAAGGCTAGTCAATGCCTAGAAAGACATATATCCAGTGGTGGGATTCAAGTAATTTAACAACCGGTTCTCTGGTTATTATTATTTCTTCCAACAACCAGTTTGCCAAAATGCTTAGAAAGTTAACAACCGGTTCTCCCAAAGTGGTGCGAACTGGCTGAATCCCACCACTGCATATATCTTTCTCTATTAGCATTGGAAATATTTTTAATGAAACTCCCCACATGCAGCTATTTAAAACAGTACTCATTTGATCTGATCCTTTGACTATTGATGTTCTTAGTTTCAAAAAATTTTATTGCATCAGAATTCAGTGATATCTAGTTTAATTGCCAAATTGGCATTTTGTCCACCTGGGCAAGCTCAAAATCAGTTTCAAAATCCTAAAGTTCTAAGAATGTGTTCCTGCTACGAAAAGTTTGGAATCTTTAGAAAATTCAGAAATCTAAACCAGATTGGAATCCCATGTGTAGTTAGTTTGTTGAGAACAGACTGGCCTCAGCAGAATTTTAAATTCTATTGCATTCTCATAAATGCCAGTTTCTTTTTGTGAAAAAGAGTTGCCCACTATTTAGACATAGCAGGTCCCTTTATTAGACAAGATAACATTTTTTCTAAAACTTGGTGACTAGAGGAAAAACTTTGATTCCCTGATACTTTCCTGTGACTGAATCACAATGAGCATCTCATGCTAACTCAAAAGTATCCAGGCAATTAAGCCAATGAGGATTGGATTTAGCCCCAAACAGATCTGGTTCACTAATATCCATGACATTCATTATACTTACTGAAATTGCCCTTTCTTATATTCATGATCAAGACTAATTTCTAGAAGAGGCCCACAAAAACTGGCCCTTGTAGCCACTTCATTTTAGTGTTCACATACTCCTCAACTACATGGACAGAGAAAAAATATGTTTGGGCATTATCATAATTATGCATTCCAAATGCTGCATGGTTATGCCAATCCTTTTTCAAAGTAATGACAGCAAGAAAAAATTGGGTGGGGGGTGGGAAGTGGGGAGGGAAGTGGTAAACTTCAGTCTCCTTTGGGATTTGAAATAACATAAAGCATAGCTGTCAGCCAGCTGTCTCAAAAACCTCAGGTCATATGTTGTCTGTGCATGCAGAAGAATGAATTGCCTGGAATAGGAGATATTGGATTGGATATCTTGAGAACAAGACTATTATGTAGCCTTCATATCTAATCATAGTGAATGTGGTTTCTTATTTTCCATCACCTCACCCAACTAGTGTCAATATATATTGCCCACCTCCATCTGGGAATGGAAAACCTTTTTTGTTAATATGTCAAGTGTTTCTAAAGCATTTGTCTTATTTGACATAATATAATTTATGACTTGTCATGCTCTATCTCCCAAAAATCATTGCTTTTGAAACTGATTTCAGTACAGAAGTATAACTATACAGACGTATAGAATACAGAATACATAAGTATAACTATATTTAATTTTTGTCTATGAAATTCTAGAGGTAGAAATTTTACATTTCATTACTTAGTATATATGGTATTTTGCTCTTCTGCCATACATCCACAAGATATATGCTTCACTTAAAACTACAATTGGGATTGGAATGTTGGTCATTAAGCAATCTGATAGTTAAGCAAATCATCAGGTGACGGGACCTATTTGTGCAACTTTTCCCCCCAGTCGTTAAGTGAATAACATGGTTGTTAAACAAATCCGGCTTCCCCCCCATTGACTTTGCTGGTCAGAAGTTGGTTGGGAAGATCACAAATCACAATCATGTAACAGCAGATGCTGCAACAGTTATAAATGCAAACTGCTTGCCAAGTGCTCAAATCATGATTGTGGGGATGGTGCAAAAATTGTAACTTCAAGGATGGGTCATGAGTCACTTTCTTTCAGTGCCATCACAACTCCAAACTGTCACTAAATAAATGGTCATAAAGACTACCTGTAGTTCCCACATACTAACATAATTTTGCTAGTATCAGTGGACATAATATAAAATTTTCCTTCAGTTGTATTGGGACAAATATACATTGCAATTTCCCTTGGCATGCTGATAGCACTCCTTTCTTCTAAGAAGAAAAGGAGATGATCTCATTTATATCTATCCTTAAAGACTGATGACAAGAAATAAAGGATATACTGCAAGTACTTGTAAGGGCGAATCTCATATTGAATAATGACGTGCATAACAGTAATTAGATTTTAATGGATCTAAGCTTTTTTCACCATGAAAATGATTGCCCCACATACTTTACAATTTAGGGAATGTGAAATGCATCATGTTTTCAAGAAATAAGATATTATATTAATTATTTTTGCAGATATTTTATCACCAATTGAGAAGTAGATAGACAAAATGTTACTCTGACCAAAGGCTTTAAGCCTAATTCTTTATTTGGTTCATGTTACTGTCACTGACAATTTTTTCTTTTTTGTAACCAATTCAAAGTTGATCTAATATAGTAAAGCAGACTTGGCTTTTTTCATTAAAGAATATCATTCTATCTTGTGTTTCAATTTTACCAACCAAATTCCATTTTTCTCTTCACAATTACAAACTGGTTATATAAATGTCTGTTTGGAACATAAGAATGCTGAATTTAATATTGCCACAGTTAAGGGAAATAACTGTTAGAATTGCTTCCCCCGCCCAAAATAAAAATTAATTGCAAAAAGCAATAAAAGAAAAAAACTTTAACATTCTGATTAATATTCCTTACATGGTCAGAATTTTTTCTAGAGGAAGGCTTTTTTAAACTATGTTTTTAAATGTGTTGAAATGGTGATTGGTTTGCTTCTCCTGGGTAACCGCTTTGAATTAGTTCATAATTAAATTACTGTTCATGTCCATCTCACAAGTCAGGCACATCAAATCAAACTGTTACTCTGTAACCAGGTTTTCAATAGCAATAACCATATATAAATGCCACGTCAAAACTCAGAAACTTCTATACTGGCTAATTAAGACTATAATCCTCTATATGTCTATTTAAGATTCATTGAACAGTATGGAGTTTCTTTTAGATTAAATGTGATTAGGATCATGCTGTATGTAATTGTATGGCTTGGAAATGTTGAATCCTGCCCATGCAGCCCACTACAAGTTACTTCTAGTGTCTAATTTTTTTTTAATCACTGCTACTCTAGTTCAGCAATCACTTTGAAAGTAATAAAAGCATTTACAGTGAGATCCCATCATACATACATGATTGCTGGTTGAGGGTTGTTTCTTTTCTTCTGAAATCAGATGATGATTGAAGCCAAGATGCTCAGTAACGTTAATCCTTAAATCTGACATTTGTTTGAATAAGAACTAGCGGTCTGTACTTGATCCTCAGGAATATTTGAATGCAATGCTATGAATGAATACTATCAAGGTGCCAGAGTGTATCAATAAAGTCATTAAAGCCCATGAGGTGTCAAATGTTTAAACAGTCCCTCCAATTTCAGAAATGAAGATTGCTAAATCAAAAAGGGAACAACTTTATCTTCATGTCCAGAGAATTGACAGTGAAATTGAAGCATCCATTGTGTTTACATTGTGAAATGTAAAGTTCAAGAAGCAGAGTTAGATTTAATGCTAATTTGGCAAGGAATTGCTTTTTCTTTTTTTTAAAGACCAGTGCTGATCACATTACATTATATAGAAATGCAGGTGAAAGATTATAATCTGTATAATATCTCTTCCTAAATTACTGTTGCAACCATGGCTGGAATTCCAGCAGCTCCGTAGACCAATAAAATACACTACAGAATGTGTGCGATGGTATATTTTTGATAAACCAGTGAGACATTACAATGCAATGATGTTTGCATTAGAGGTTTTTCTGTTGTTACCAGAATTTTATCTCAATTGTATTATTTTCTATTTTCATACTCTAAATGGGCTTTGCTTACTACAAAACATCATACCCAAGACAAACATACTGTACAAAACTGCAGATAGATTCATTTGACAAAACTTTCTAAAGGATCCTTAGTTTCTTGTTGTCTTTTTTTGAAACTGTAGTGCTTATGTTGAAACTTGTATATCATTTACAGTACTGTGTCTTGTGCCACTGCTGTACCTGATGTATCCATTCTGGATTAAATGAATTATGTGCCACAAAATATTCAATTCTTGCTGAAGACTTTTTTAACTGATGTCATCTATTTGATTAAATCATTTACTCTACTCCAAGATACATCACAATCATAACTTTGCCAGATTTGATCAAAAATCTATCTAGTTTGATTTCTTACTTCCAATATAGATAATTACATTGTTCCAAGAAATTTGTAGATTTTACGTGAAAGCAGTAAATGATATTCAATAGCATTTTGTAGGTAGAGGCACCATTTAGTTATTACAGCTGATAAATTTTGATAAATCTATCTTGTTCAATCCTAGTCATCTTCTAGCAATGAATTCGATAAAACTCAAAACATTTTATATGAAATATATTTATCAGTAATACATGCCCTCATTTAATGCTATTCGGTGTTTTAGGTGACTTAATCCTAGTAATATGAACATTACAGAGAAGCTCTTGATCTTTTATCAAACCTGTACAAATCATTGTACAAACCTGTGCCTGCTTCTTCACAAATTGTATGAACTTCAGCATGGCATACTTTTAAATCAGAATGACATTACTCTAGCTCCCAATATAAGTGTGGTTTAACAGTTCCTGAAGGTTGTAAATAAGCTTGCAGTCTTCTCTGTGCCCACAAAAAAAAATATTATATTTAAGAGAGAGAAGAAGCTGATAAAGAGAAATATATCATGGTTACAACTGTTGTGTTGTACCACAATGAAAATGAAGTCTGTATTTTTGGTAGAAAATAGTCTACTGTTTCCTATAGTGTTGAAACTCAAAACACTGCAGGAAAAGAACAACAATACATTTTATTTTTTTAACTCTTATCCTCCACATAACCTTACATTCATAACTGTAGAACAGAAAAACTAATCTATCTGTTTTTAATTCTGAGAACAACAGCTTATATTCAAAATGACTTTATGGAGTCAGCTTTTAAATTTAGATCTAAAACTAAAGTTTTGAAAACACTGGGGAGTACATATCTAATAATTAACCATTGTACAACATGTAGCTTTTATTTTGTACCTTAATTTAAAAATATTCATATTCTAATAATTTGCAACCTAGGAATATTCACTAAGGTGAATGGATTGAATTAGAGATTATGGGCGCATCATTGGAAGACCTAAAGGACCAACTTGGGATCAGATTGCCCAGAAAAAAAAGTCTTATCTATGGGGTCTCAACTCAACTCTCAAGAGTCAACTCTGACTCAATAGCACATAATCTATCAAGGATATTCAACAGAAGTGTTAAATACAAACTTCAAAGTTCCAAGGGAAAAAAAAGGAGAGCCTAACATAGGCAAAATTGAAATTTGCGATTCCCACACAGCTAATGAATCAGGTATGAATTATTTCTAATTACTCAGAAAGATAGGACTGGTACATATTCTTTTTGTGCATTGTAAGTCATTTTTACAACCAGACAGCATCATTTTGTAAAAGTAATTATAGGTTAATAGGGTAAAAAGTATGCTTCTAGGTTAAAGATCTGTTGAAATGGCACTCCAGTTGATTATTAGCACAGCAGCTTTTGAAAATACTGTCATGCTAGATGAAAACAATATATATTTGGTCCTCTATAGCAAAGTCAAGTCTAAAGATAATGGAAATTGAACAGTAGGTCATACTTGTTACATGCTTCAAGGATTGCATTGATTTCTAATGAAGCACCTTACCTGCGCTTCATTTTACTCTTTACATTTCAAGAGGATTTTGAACAAACTTTAAGCAGTGGTCAGGGTTCTTTTTCTTCTTGTCTGGAATTTTGGCAGTAAAATAAAATATAACAACACCTCTTTATGCTTTTTTTTTTCATATCCTGTTACAATCTGGGCAGCAATTATTTCTCTTAGCTTGCTTATGTTGCTCTTATACAAAAGCAACCATCTGGAAAATTTATTATTCTGGGCTGTGCCATGTAGTCTGAGGATCAGATGCATACCAATAGTTAAGCATGTTTAGAATTATCCACTTATTTATTAGTTCAATTTATATGCCGCCTTTCTCCGGAGACTCCATATAAAGACTACAATACTGGAAAAGGTGAAAAGGAATTTAAAAAATCCCCCATGCAAAACCTTGTCTGGTGAGGGATGCAAAAACCTAGAAAAACATTTACCCATCGTAAATATTAGAATAAAACAGCAGCAGGAACCACAATGCTCAGTAAGTATGGTACTCCATGCACATAGATAATCATGACAAAAGTTATTCATTTGAATGACATGATTACTTCTGTACATGTAAAATAATACACAGCAGATAATCAGGCCCTGGCACAAAGGAAAATCATGCAAAAATATGAGTTCTAACTTAACAATTAATTGTACTGACTAAAAGAAAAAGAAGAGTATAGCAACGTTTCAGATTATACACAGGTTGATAAGCAATAAGGAGCCAAGATTCTCTGGGTAGTAGAATACTAGAATTTATTTTTTGCACCTTTGAGTCAGCAATCACTCCTGGCAACTTCCTGAATTAGTGCTTGGGATTTTCTTGGAAAGAAAATGGTTTGCTGTTGTCTGCTTCTTAGGGCTGAAAGAGAGTAATTGGCCCAAGGTCACCCAACTGGCTTTGGGCATAAGGTGGCATTAGAACTCAAGTCTCCTGTTTTCTAGCCTGTTTCTTTAACCACGACACCAAACTGGCTGTTATACATCTACCCAACTGAGTTTCAATTATGAGATGCTAGATAGGATATAAAACAACTGAAACAAAGCAGGGAAATTAGTTTTGGGGCCAATTGATAATTTCACTTCTGATTAAAGTTTTTGCTTATGTGTAGGACAACACACACTAGAAAACACATTTATGTGTAAGACAACACACACCAGAAAAAATGTTGTTTCATCATTAATAATATTTTGAAAATTAGGGCTCATGTAGCAGAGTGACTGGATCTGCTAAAAGTTCACCGAATGAACTTGAATCACACATTAGCTCAGGTTAAATCAATGTGTAACTTCTTTAAAATAAAATTGGAGATATCAATACAAGTATTGTATTGGCAAATAGGATAAAATAAATTAAAGATATTAATGTATGGGTGTTTTTTAAAAACAGAAATTTATATTTCATATGGTTTTCAGCAACAAAATGAACAGGACTGCATATAAGCAGAATGTCAATAGCACCACCTATTGAACACAGTAATGAGAGGGATCTTAAATGTTTTGTCGAAGTCTAGATCATGCAAAGGAGCTATTATCTGAAAAGAATGCTTTCTAAAATCCTTTAAATGATTTAAGGACATTATAAAGTCTAGACTAAACCTTCATATTTGTCCTAGCCAACTAGGCTTTGTTCTGTTGCCCCTGCTATTTTCTTATAAACATTTAATAACAAATTGGGGAAACTAAGGAGAAGAAAAAGAGCATTCTGGTCTATGGAACTTTATGACCAATCAAAATATTTTTCAAATAATGAAAAATTTTGCAGGATAGGAATATGTCTCAAACCATCTTGTACATTTTTTGGAAAAGCAGAGTGATTGTATCTACAATTTTAAAGAAAACTACAAAAAAATGGTCTGTTTAAGAGGCAGGCATCCAAGAATAAGCATTTCTAACTTGAACTGTAACTATAAGTACAAGATTAATAAATACATTAAAAAGTAAAGGTGTAAACACCACCACCCTTCATTTTATCCCTTTCAAAGCCTTGATATCTGTCAGGTGCCCTACCAGGGTGAACCTAACCTGAATTTGAATATTTCTGTATAAAACCATGATCAAAATTAATAACATTTTATTCAAATTCAGCTGATCTAGCTTAATCAATAATTTGCTTCTATCAATATAATCAAAAAGTTCATGAAAATTCACAAAGGCAGTAGTTCCTATGGACCTGTTTTACACACTTATCACATAAGCCAATACAAAACCATAATCAATTGTTGGAATTTCTGCTCCAAGCCCTTCCTGTTCCTCTGCAAGCTATTATTGATGACCCAGTTCTCTAATTTATTAGACAGATGTTTTGCATAAATTTTAGCAGTAATGTGAAATCGGACTAATCAATCTATAGTTTTCTGGATGGCTACAATCACCTTCCTTGTATATTTGGATCGCTATACTTGTATTCCAATCCTGGGAAAGTTGACCATAGAAATTAATGTTATTAAAGCGTTTAACCAGAATAGACTTCCACTAGATATTAGCTTTTAATAAATCACCAGCAATATGGTGTTCTCCAGGGGCTCAATTTCTTTTAAAGATATAAAGGGCTAGAATATAGTGTCACACAAGTTTTAGATTAATTGGAGAATTAACTGGAGTAGGATGAGGAGCAAACAATCTACAATGGTTCTCAAATTCCTCTCTGAACACTCGTTTCTAAGATGTTCTTATCTTTACCCATTTATCAGCTTCCAGAATAATGTTGTATCTTTAGAAACAGAATAAAAATGAAGTTATAATATAGTTTTGATGCTTAGGAGGAAAATAATTATAGAAAAATGTAAGCAATGTTCTAACCCTTAAGAGGTTAATTATATTTATACTGATAAATGTTGCAAAAAATGGGAACTCACTTATCATCTTTTCTTTGATTTCTGCATTTTTAACTGTTCTTTATTCTAAGTTAGTTTTTATTGTTTTCAAGATTGTAATAGTTTATTTTTTTTTAAAAAAAAGTATATGGCAATGAGGAGAATGCCAAGGAGTTGTATATCATGTCTTGTGCTTTAGCAGTTTATATTCCCTTTGCTTCCTAAGCATTTCCGTAATTACCCATGGGACACAATTATATTTTGCTCTTTGCCAAATTCCTAACCATATAACATGCTGTTCTACATTACATGTCAAACCAGCGTTGGTTTGGTAACTTGAATTTAATGTAGAGGTGTTCCTACCTTAATTCTTACGAGAATTGTACTTTCAGATTTTGTAAGATTCTGTCTGTAGCTTTACAATAAAGTACAATTAGCTCATCTGGTTCTGATTCTTATCTGGCTTGCCCCATCAGGCTGACGTCAATCTTCCAAGTCTGAAAGCACAATTCTCCCCACCCCCTTTTCCTTTACAG